TAGTAAAGTATGACAAACTCCTTGATTCACTCCATCTTTTCATCATGACCAAACATGCATTTTTATGCAAAATGAAACCAATGGATCAAACTACCATTTCATGTGAACTAAGATAGACTTCTGCAAGTTAGAGGAACCATTTGAAATATTTATAAATATAGATCCAAGTCTCAAAGCAATACACGCCAAAATTTGCACAAAAACCCCATTGTTGCAAGTTTTCATCTCATAAACACCAAACTCCCAATTCTTGCAAGTTCTTTGCAAACAAACCATCCAAACACCTTCGATACATCATATAGAAGCTACTATAACCTTAAGTTTTCTTCTATAATCACCCAATCCATACCTCCATTTCTCACTTTTTTGAGTTTTCACATCAAGTTGGTTAGAGAATTTGAGCTTGTTTCAAAGAAAAGTAAGCATATCAATAGCTTCATCGAAGTTCAAGGAAGCTAAGAGGATCATCCCTTTGCTAATGTAATCACATTTAAGGGGGAAACAGACTCATTTCGTTTGGTAAATTTTCTTAACTTTGAACTCAAAGTTTAAGCTACCATTTGCATTCATTCTTGATACATTTATGTCCATATGATTGGTGTGATCTGAAGTCCTATGAAAATAGGCATTGATTGATTTTGCATGTCATTTAACTCAACTTTGAAAAATGTTAGAACTTCTGGCTTTATCAAAAAATCCTGAGCTATAGTCCTTATTAATTTATGATGTTTACATTTTTGAAATCCGTGTGAAAAACTAAGCAACTTTAATCTTTAAACTTTTGCATTTGGTTGAGAAATGAGAAAGTTACCATTTTTGAAAACATGAAGTTGAAATTCAAGTTATTTACATATCAGAAAAAAACCATTTTTTGAACAGGAAATCGATTTCCTAAAACAAGGGAATCGATTTCCATAACTATTTTTTTTCTTCCAGTGCCTCTGTTTGTGTAATTTTCAAAAGGGGAAATCGATTCCCCCATTTTGGGAAATCGATTTCCTGAAGCTTTTTCTCTTTTTTTTATTATTTGTCTTTCCATTCATTTTCAAAACCCTTTCTTCAACATTCAACTTGATTTTAGATGAGCAAATCAACTCCTTTTGGCTTGTTTTTTTGCATGCTACTTGATTTATGTATGTACTTTGATAATATTTGAAAAATATTAAAAATATGTTTTATTTTGTTTGTTTTATTAAAAATCCTAAAACATGTCTTTTATACTCTCTTTTAAGACTTTCTTGATGATTAATCCTACCATGTCATGTTTTGATCCTGTCTTAATAACATGATGTTTGTGTATGCTCATTAACTCATATAATTAGTACTTATGTCAAAATCCAAGAAAAAGAGATATTTTGTTGACTTTATAAGTCATGTGCATATGTATTGCCCCTTTTGTATAAAAACTTTTGTGAATGTTCATCCTATGTATTCTCATATGCTCTAAAGAAAACTTTTAACCCAATAAATCATTTTCAAACTTTCACCACTTTCATATAAAAACCTTGACTATGTGTCGTTGTATTTTTAAACTATCTTTTTAATCAAATGCTTCAATATACTTAAGAATATCAAAACAATTTCAAAAGACTAAAAGTGACTTAACATCACCCAAATCTTTTTGCCACTTGGCTTTTCAATTTGAAAATTTTCTCAAAGAGATTAGATACAAAGTCTTCTTTATTAGTTGAGATATGATTCTCTTATCCCCATAGTAGTTGTTAAAGTAAATGTGATTCTTTCCATATGAAGATGTTAGTTGGAAACTTGTTGATCTTTATGTTCCTGTCTGGAACAAATATTCGGCCGACTTCTCATGAGGTTGCTAGGGAGAGCTTACCGGAGAGAGTTTATGAGATGGCTGAGGGATTTGGGAGCTACGACAGTGATGCGTGCGTCCCAAGATGAATGTCTTGATTATCCCTCTTGCGAGAACCCCTTTATGTGTCTATCTCAAGTGTAAGACCATATCCTCTTCCTATTTATCCAAGGACCTTTTATAGGTTAATACATGGTGTAATGGCTATTAAATCCATCTTGTAACGTTTGTAACTATCCATAAGTGTTGTAACATTCGTAACCACCCATAATGGCTTGTAACGTTCGTAACCGCTATCTATTGAGTTTCGTAACTGTAACTAACTCGGCTCGATGCAACCCGGCCAGGCACAACTAGTCCAGGCACAACACGGTCAGATTTTCAACCCGGCCAACACAGCTAGGCCAACACAACCCGACCAGGCACAACTAAACCAAAACAACTAGGCTAGCACAACTAGGCCAACTCAACTAGGTCAGGTAGCTAGGCCACGGGCATACGACTAGCATTGATCGACATATCTGTTTATGACACTCGGCTTGGAGAATTATGGGATGTGTAACAAGCCCCCCGAGCACGAGTATCATTGTTGGGATGAAGTGTTCGGTCATGAAGAGCCCATAATTTCGTGTATTGATACTCAACTGGTTCTTTACAAGAATCTCTTCTTGGTTGTTATTTATATGAGGCACCGATTTACTTATATCCCCGTACGTACATCTAGTCGAGTTTAGTATCTTATAGGTATGCATTTATGCTCATGTTGGAGATATAGCCCACGCGACTTTAGTTTATATAAAGGGCCCAATTACCCCCATTTTACACTTATGCTTACCGGGGTCTATATTCAACATTTTTGCAAGATGTTTCATACTTTTGGTCTGTTTGGCCAGTCATCGGTTAAACTATTTTTGGCAGTATCACAAAGTAGTGAGATTAATGGCTTTTGTTTTTTTTCATTTATAATTGTTTGAATACTTGTGACGTGATCATTTCCCAAGCTAGGTCTCTCGGATATGAAGTCCACGAGAGTAAGTGTCCGGATATAAGGTACCCAGTTTACGTTACTTTTGGCTAATTTGTGAATTCAACAATGGCACTTATTTTGTATTTTAAGAGCCTAAAGCCTATTTTGAGGCCGGCTAACGAGCCGCGGCGATTTTATATTTGTTGTTTGGGATTTCTTCCGAATACTTTACAGCCCCATGCGGGTTATAAACTTTGAGTTTATCTTTGATATATGCAAAAGACTTCCCGGATAGCAGATGTCTCAGAGCTATGTATCCGGCTTTATATCACCTTCAATTTTTTTTATGAAATCAACCATGGTGTCTCTTATAAGAGCCCCGAGCATGTATGAGGTTGGGTGACCATTCATTTGTTTAGTTACGGGCTAATGAGCCCCTAGCAAACTTGTTGAGTATACCCCGACGAGATTTATTAGTTCGGTTTAGAATATTATTTGTTGTGCTAACGATCAAATAAAAATCCCCAAGTTTCATTAGGTAATGGTCAAAGGTTTTATTAACTTGACCGGGCTCAAGGCATAACGACATAGCCGAGGAGTTGTGGTATTTGACCGCTTTGTGGATTTTCATTACGCGGAGGCGGGATTGACCGGTTGGGCCTTGATTCCACTATGGTGATGTATTTAACTCTTTTGATGGAGAGTATGAGGTTTCGCCTCTTATACGAGGAGTTTTGTAGAACTCGACTCTTAAACGAGGAGTATTTTTACAGTACTAAACCTTATATGGGGAGTGTCATTAGTGGCAGCAGAGGTCTTAAAGCGTATGATTATGACTTTTGCCTGCGGGTTTTGTATTTCGAACCGCTCTTTGTGGCTTTTATAATTGTATTTCTCATTTTCATCTTTAGATTTTTTTCTTCTTTACATTTACAAGATAATTTGGTGCATATATAAGCCTCTCGGACATAAAGTCCATCGGGTTGTATATGTCCGATCATGTAGCGTCGGGTTTTAAAAAGCCCCAACTGCATTCGTGCTTTTTTGTATAATAAGTCCCCGAGGTTTATTTTAAGATCTGTTCATTTCTCGTACGAGGAGCTTTTAATAGAACTCGGCCATTATGTTGGGGAGTGTAAAATGATAGAACTCGACCCTTATTGGGGGAAATAATAGAAGGGGAGTGTTGTAGAACTCGACCCTGGTGAGGGGAGTTAGTCTGTGGAACTCGACCCTGATGAGGGGAGTAGTTATAGAACTCGACCCAGATGAGGGGAGTTGTTTAAAGAACTCGACCCTGAAGAGTGGAGTAAGTTTATAGAACTCGACCCTGATGAAAGGAGTGTAGTTATAGAGCTCGACCCTGATGAGGGGAGTATTGAACGGAATTTTGAGAGAGGCGTGAAGTACGTTTCGACTTCTGCCAGATCAGAGCCTAATGAGGGTGACCGAGTTTGCGAGAGGCATAATTTGTGCTTCGACTTTTTGCAGGAATAGAGCCCCATTTTAAGATTTACGGAGTAGGTCCAGAGCCTTAGCAAGGGTAGAGCCGAGTTTGCGAGAGGCATAAAGTATACTTCGACTTTTTTCCGAAACAAAGCCACAATTGTAAGGTTGACCGAGTAGGTCCAGAGCCTTAGCGAGGGTGAAGCTGAGTTTGTGAGAGGCGTAAAGTTTGCTTCGACTTTTTGCCGGAACAGAGCACAATTGTAAGGTTGGTTGAGTAGGTCCAGAACCTTAACGAGGGTGAAGCAAAGTTTGCGAGAGGCGTAAAATACTTTTTACCGAAACAGAGCCTCATTGTAAGGTTGGCCGAGTAGGTCTCCCTTAGCGAGGGTGAAACCGAGTTTGCAAGAGGCGTAAAGTGTGCTTCGACTTTTTGCCGGAACAGAGCGCCATTGTAAGATTAGCCGAGTAGGTCCAAAGTCTTAGTGAGGGTGAAGCCGAGTTTTCGAGAGGCGTAAAGTGTGCTTCGACTTTTTGCCGCAACAGAGCTCCATTGTAAGGTTGGTTGAGTAGGTCTAGAACCTTAGCGATGGTGAAGCCGAATTCGTAGGCCGAGTGTTTATATTTACACTACCCGACTACAACCGATTACAATGGCTTACATTTTGTTCGAATCTCACCTAGTTTTTTAGACTAATAAGAGTGAGGTGTCTCCCGCCCACGCAAGGGAGAAGGACGACACTTTTAAACTTCCTATAGTAAATCTAAATGAGATATATTACAAACGGCGGAGACAATAGCTTTTCTTATACAATGATGTTGATCAGTTTAAAGTATGAATTTGTGCTCTGCTCGGTTTTACTAGCTCGTAACCGGCTGTCTACGCCTAATCGGGATGTCTATATAATCCTCCCAAGCGTGAGGCTTTGTAGGAACAAGATGAGACACTTTAACTTAGGATCATTCGGCTAAAGAATACTCTGCTTCTCGGTGCTTTGTCAGAGGTCTTGCTTGATAAATTCATTATTTTGAAAATAGATTCGACCGCTTATCTTTTGTTATGGTGTGACACATCTCGCCTCTTTATCAACGATTATAAGATCAGCTTCGTTCGCCGGGTCTGAAACTGCCTAAATATGCTTCTTGTCGGCTTGTAGATTTGTGCTATCATTACACGATCCATTAGCCCGCTCTATTTGGGCGTGATCCTCTATTTGGTTGAGATGATGTACCGATGGCTCCTTGGAATTTCTCCGTCCTATATTTTTTCATTTCCAAAACAACATGGTTAAATATAATAAGCATTAATAACATGGTCTCAGGCGGAGTAATAGCAGGCACCATACGGCTGAATGAAATAGCAATTTGTTATGATTTCTATTCTTATAATTTTGTACTTGGACTAATCTGGGTTTGCTAAATTAGCATTCCGCATAATGATGAACAACAGCGTAAGATGGTTTCCGTTTTCATAACGTATATAATGAAAAATATACTAGTTAATACATTCATCTTAATTCTCATTAATGCCAATATTTTTCCAACCAATGCTATTTAAACCTATGTTTTTGTAACCGCTATACCACGATTTCACTCCATGCGAGTTTAGCACTGATATTCTTTTTTGGTTAACTAATAGAAACATTGCTTTCATGAAGTCATAATACCAAATAGAAGAGCATGGCACGCAAAGCCTGATGACTAATAAGTCATGAATAATAAGAAAGATAGTATCTAGCTACAACTATGATCAGTGATAATGCACTTCCATTTCAACACGTATTCAGATGAAGTAAAAATAGAGGACTACCAGATATTAGGATGATAGTACCACCTTAGAAGTCTATGAGAATAGTAAGGTTACCGCTGTATATCATGTGTAAGCATATAACACATACTTTTAGAGGTGGCAAACGGTATATGTCCGTCCCGTTTAGGTCTGTTCTACAAAAGCCCGCAAAAAAATTGAGTGAAAAAAGTCTGAACACGTGCATTTTTTAACTGCGCACTAAAGTGCTGGTAAAACGAATATGCTCAACGGGCCAGACCCATTTTGTCACCCCTAAACATATCGGTGCATTTTGTAGATCTAACCTAAGCATGATCTATCTTAAGAATAAGCTTGCGATAGTTAAAGAAGTATATTATCTAATCACAACACTCATGCCATATAATTAGCGTCAATCCTTACCAAAGGATTGGTAAGGATTGGCGCTAATTACTTTTTCGTTTGCGGAACAACTTTTTCCAATGATTGTTGTAATTTATTTTTACTGCTGCTGATTTTTTGGGTTTGCTCTGTCCAATTTTTTAATGTGATAAAGCTGGTTTATTTTCTAGGATAAATTGAATCTGTTGCAATTGCAGACTTGGAATCACTGTTGGTACACATTTAGAGAGAAAAGTTTGGTTGTCTATCAAAAAGCTATTAAATAATGAAGAAGATATTAAAAAAGCTATATAATGTTTGGTTGTCTTTATAAAAAAACTATTAAAAAAGCTATTAAAAATACTGATAGTATTAAAAAAGCTATTAAATAATATTTGGTGTTGACTTGAAATCACTTTGTTTGAGTTTCAGACTTTCAGTTATATAACATTAGTGTTTGTTACTATTGTTAGTGTTTGTTAGTGTTAATACAATTCTGTTTGTTAGTGTTAATACAATTCTGTTTGTTAGTGTTTGTTAGTGTTAATGCAATTCTGTTTGGAATCACTTTGCCTTATATTTTGGTTGTTTTATTTTTGGTAGAAGATTATGGAGATTTTGAAGGATACAAAAAAGAGTCATTCTATCAAGCTATGTGCAAGCTTACAAACACTTGTGTGTCTGACCCGTGAGTTAACTCCTGAAAAAAAAAGCTCTGATGAGCAACTCTATTTTCAGAGGTTTCTTAGAAATAGAAAATAGTAGAGAAAGTTCTGCTACATTGATTTCCAGTTTTTGTGACATTTATGAACCGGCAACAAAAGTTTTTGTGTTGAACAACCATGCTTCCTTTTCTTTCTGTGTTGAAGAGGTAGCGTATGTTATTGGTATGGAAAATACCGGAACTGGTTTAGCAATCTCTCGTGAAAGAAAATTTCCTCAATTTATCTTTGACTTGAAAAAAGATTTGAACTTGCCATAATCAAAAAAACTAAAAACAGCTGATGTTAAAACTATTTTAGAAAAAATGGACATAACAGACGAGCAAAGAAAAACAAATTTCAAAAAACTTCTTACTTTTTTTTTATTGAACTCATTTTACTATGCCCCGGATCCGAGAGTGTCGCGTTCATCGTCTTGGGCAATGGTTGATAACTTAGACGCCTTAGGAAATTTTAATTGGCCGAAAGTTATCTTTGATAATCTCCATGCCTCATTCGCGAAACTTAAGCATTTGAAGGATGACCCGGATAAGGAACAACACTACTTCAGCGGGTTCGCTCCAATTTTTGAGGTAATTCGTTTAAGTTCAATGTCCTTTTTTTATTTTTTTTATATCTGATATTTCTCATCAATTTTTTCTGCTATTGATAATATATGTTAACATCATTATTAGGCCGTTGTATTTAGTAGAATACAATCCTTAGCGCCAAAGCCAAAGCCAGAGCTTGCTTGTCTCCATCCTCCCATACAAAGTTACAGCAGTAAAAGGACCGGATGGAGGCCGTTGAACACGATCGAAGCCTCAGAGGTATTATAAAATTATTTTTTATGTTATCATAGAAGGACAAGAAAAGATGTTATCATTGTATCACTATTTGTTATGCTTCTTAGTAGTATATAGTGAGGTGAGGGAGTGTGAGATTGTTATGGTTGGGTTGGCTTAGCCAAATGTTGTGGCACTGTGTGGACAATTCATCCTATCCACACAGGGCCCAACCCAGATAGGATGAATTGTCCACAGTGCCACAGCATTTGGCTAAGCCAACCCAACCATAACAATCTCACACTCCCTCACCTCACTATATACTACTAAGAAGCATAACAAATAGTGATACAATGATAACATCTTTTCTTGTCCTTCTATGATAACATAAAAAATAATTTTATAATACCTCTGAGGCTTCGATCGTGTTCAGCGGCCTCCATCCGGTCCTTTTACTACTGTAACTTTGTATGGGAGGATGGAGACAAACAAGCTCTGGCTTTGGCTTTGGCGCTAAGGATTGTATTCTACTAAATACAACGGCCTAATAATGATGTTAACATATATTATCAATAGCAGAAAAAAATTGATGAGAAATATCAGATATAAAAAAAATAAAAATGGACATTGAACTTAAACGAATTACCTCAAAAATTGGAGCGAACCCGCTGAAGTAGTGTTGTTCCTTATCCGGGTCATCCTTCAAATGCTTAAGTTTCGCGAATGAGGCATGGAGATTATCAAAGATAACTTTCGGCCAATTAAAATTTCCTAAGGCGTCTAAGTTATCAACCATTGCCCAAGACGATGAACGCGACACTCTCGGATCCGGGGGCATAGTAAAATGAGTTCAATAAAAAAAAAAGTAAGAAGTTTTTTGAAATTTGTTTTGCTTTGCTCGTCTGTTATGTCCATTTGTTCTAAAATAGTTTTAACATCTGCTGTTTTTAGTTTTTTTGATTCTGGCAAGTTCAAATCTTTTTTCAAGTCAAACATAAATTGAGGAAATTTTCTTTCACGAGAGATTGCTAAACCAGTTCCGGTATTTTCCATACCAATAACATACGCTACCGCTTCAACACAGAAAGAAAAGGAAGCATGGTTGTTCAACACAAAAAATTTTGTTGCCGGTTCATAAATGTCACAAAAACTGGAAATCATAGTAGTAGAACTTTCTCTACTATTTTCTATTTCTAAGAAACCTCTGAAAACAGAGTTGCTCATCAGAGCTTTTTTTCAGGAGTTAACTCACGGGTCAGACACACAAGTGTTTGTAAGCTTGCACATAACTTGATAGACTGACTCTTTTTTGTATCCTTCTTTTTTGTATCCTTCAAAATCTCCATAATCTTCTACCAAAAATAAAACAACCAAAATATAAGGCAAAGTGATTCCAAACAGAATTGCATTAACACTAACAAACACTAACAAACAGAATTGTATTAACACTAACAAACAGAATTGTATTAACACTAACAAACACTAACAATAGTAACAAACACTAATATTATATAACTGAAAGTGTGAAACTCAAACAAAGTGATTTCAAGTCAACACCAAATATTATTTAATAGCTTTTTGAATAGCTTTTTTAATACTATCAGTATTTTTAATAGCTTTTTTAATAGTTTTTTTATAAAGACAACCAAACATTATATAGCTTTTTTAATATCTTCTTCATTATTTAATAGCTTTTTGATAGACAACCAAACTTTTCTCTCTAAATGTGTACCAATAGTGATTCCAAGTCTGCAATTGCAACAGTTTCAATTTATCCTAGAAAATAAATCAGCTTTATCACATTAAACATGTTGAGACTTGAGAGAGTACCGGAAAAAAATTGGACAGAGCAAACCCAAAAAATCAGCAGCAGTAAAAATAAATTACAACAATCATTGCAAAAAGTTGTTCCGCAAACGAAAAAATTATCAGAGCTAGCTGTATCATAAATTGCAAACAGTCACAAATAACTTTTATCGACAAATAAAGGTTTATGCAACCACCAAACGCAATAGTTGCAGAAACTAACATAGCATGCTTAGTTTCATCAATGGATCTCACAGCCCGGAATCGGATACCGTGAATTTACCAATCCACCGAGTGTATTTGTGTAAGTTCGAAAGTCATAAAGTGGAAAACTTATCTGAATTTAGATACCAACGTCAGAGGTTCTCAAATAATCTCTTTAGAACGGTGCAAACTCACATCAGTTGGGTTGAATTTTCGGTTCCTCATCGGATAACAAACCGCCTAATATTATCGACTCCACCCTCCAATTCCTGGAATTTTAGCTAGTGATTCCGGGACAATTTGGATCCATCATGGGTCCGGTTTCAACATCGGAGATTTAACCGCTAGAACCTTGCTTTTTTGTGTTTACTCGTTGGAGTGAGTGTGCCTTTCGTTAGATCTCTTAATCTCCTGGCGTAATATTCTGCAATTCAACAGTAACAAGCTACAATGCAGATATATATGTTATTATTCAGGCGTTTTATCAAATACCTGGGGTGTAAACCAGAACAGAACCTAGGAAAGTAAAGCAGGCTTAGTGGCTTATAACTAATCATGATACATAAAATGAGGAACTTATCTGGAATTTCAAATCCTCATATCGGAGTTTATGAGTCGCCCAAAGTCGGATCGATCGGAGCCACGGGATGTTCTTCGAAGCTTCGAACCGCATAGAAATCGGCCGATCCACTCTCTCCGAGTTCTGACATCAACCGAGGATGCCTTCGATCTTCTCTAGTCCGAATTTGGTGATTGTTCTCGGACATGAATTTGTTCTTCGTAGTCTGCCATCATTAACTGATGTAATGCTGGCGGTAATGGAGACATCAGTTTGGGTTACGCAGACGATGAGATGGTGGGTCTCTGAGGACGATGGTGATGCATATTGAGATGATCGTAGGATGAGACTCTATTACTTACGATTGGATCCAAGTATTGATAGTGGTATTGAGACAACCTATGTATCAATATGGGAAGAGTGATGACGTCGAAGTGACATTTTTGTCGCTGTAATTATTGTGAGTCTTTATATTGAGCGATAGATCCCACATGGACGGGAAATGGTTGTAAAGTAATAGGATAAACATCTCATAGAGTTGAGGAAGGATGTGGTTTGCATTTATTAACGGAAATAGGAAATTTCCTTGCAATCCGTCGTGGTGAGATCCATTTTGGGATATTGCTTTCAATTGATCATGGTATGAAAGATCAGTGTATCAATCTTGAAGCCATGAACGATATTGTTATGGTAAGAATATGGATTCAACGCAAATCACCTAGAAAAAGGTGATTGTTTAGGTATGATTTGTATGGTCTAGGAATGTTTTATTGAGGTCCTACGGTCGGCGCCAATGTTTCTGTCTAAAACAAATATTCGGTCGACTTTTCAGGAAGTTGCTAGAGAGAGCCTACTAGAGGGAGTTGATGACATGATTGGAGGATTTTAGAGCTACGACATTGATGTGTGCGTCCCAAGATGAATGACTTGTTTATCCTTTTTGCGGGAGCCCCTCTATGTGTTTGTCTCAAGTGTTAGATCAGATCCTCTTTCCATTTATCCAATGACCTTTTTATAGGATAATCTACGGTGTAATGACTATTAAATTCATCTTGTAACGTCTGTAACTGTCCATAAGTGTTGTAACGTTCGTAACCGCTCATAATGGCTTGTAACGTTCGTAATTGCTATCTATTGAGTTTCGTAACCGTAACCAACTCGGCCTGGCACAACTCGATCAGGAACAGCTAGGTCAGGCACAACCCAATCAGGTTTTCAATCCGGCCAACACAGCTAGGCCAGCACAATCCGGCTAGGCATAGCTAGACCAACACAACTAAGCCAGCACAACTAGGCCAGCACAACTAGGCCAGGAAGCTAGGCCACAAGCATACGACTAGCATTGATCGATATATTTGTTTACGATACTCAGCTCGGAGAATTATGGGATGTGTAACACTTTAGAGCATCTCCAATGGTGCTACTCATATTTGGGTTCTTTGTAGGACTCATTAAGCCACATCATCTTGAAGCAATTCACTCCATTTTTCACTTCAATGATGCAATTTTAAAGAACTTATATTGGGTCCCACAATTTTACTTTGTATATTAATATTTTATTCATACTAAATTTTATTTGATTTAAAATAATAATTTAAATTATTTAAATTTAAATTAATATAAAATAAATAAAATTAAAATTAAACATAAAATTTAAAATGATTAGGATCCATTTGGCCTAAACAAATGTAATTTGAAATAAAAAGATGAAATTTTGAAATAAAATGATAATGAGAAGAAATTGTTGGGAAAAAATTAAAAATTTATGAATAAAATGATGAAATTGTGAGAGAGAAATTTGAAATTAAAGAGTAAATAAAAGTGAGAGAAAATAGGATTGGTATACAATTTTCCAACAAACCTATATTTATAATAAATAAAAAAAGTTTTAAAAAAAATAAAAACCACAGTTGCTTATATTTGTACCGTTCACCGGCTGGAACAACTTTTTTGTTGACAATTTCAATGCCAAGCTGGCAAACCAATCTGAAAAACCATCGTTGGAGGTGGTCTTATATCCAAGTTAGTAGCTCTTCCATCATGATGATACAAGATCCATCTTCTCATACTCGTGGTGGTATTAGTTAAGCTTTTCTCTCTAAAAGATGATGAAATATCTCTTCTCCTAAAATCAACCACAATAAATCATTTTGTTATTTTTATCAAGAACTACGAGATTTTGATCCTTAATTGGTACGTAGGTATAAGACTATGTCTTTCCAAACAAAAATATCCTAAAATATATTTCTTTTCCAATCTCCACACTCATTTAAACAAACAAACAATTTTAACCAAAAAAACATATATTATAAGTGGTTCCTATAGAGTATTATAGATACATAGAGTGCTAATATTTTCCCTTTGTATACCACGTACCTTGGATCTCTTTCTTATGCTTTACTTTTAGTCTTTACTCCTTGCATTGCATGTTAAACAATAGGGTTTCGATCTTTTCCCTTTTCTTTGAAAACAATAAAGTTCAATGGTGACTTCTTAAGTCATTGTGAGTCAAGTTCCTCAATAGCTTGGTGTCCTCAATTTTTCACCACAACAGCAGGATCAATGGGCCGTCAAAGAAACTCTCCATCTATATGTACAGACGACTAAGTATCAATATGAGCCACCACCTCTGTATCAACCTATAGAGAAACCTCGATATCAATTTAAGGAGGAACCTTGTAACACTAGGAAATTCATTAAATTATTTAAATGAATTACTGCGGATTTAATTGTTGGAATTTAGTCGAAGAAGGGATTATCGGAATAATTATAAGGTGCAATATTGGATTAAATATATATTGTTAGAATTGATAATCGAATAATTAGTCAATTTAGTCAAGAGAAATTAATATTGGAAATAATGTTGATTTTAATAGAATATTATTTTATTAGTTGGGTCAAATTGGGTGTGTGAAATAGCAAGATTAGGAACAACATTAACAGGCCCATTAAAGTTACTAGTAGACCTATTATTATTATATTACGTTATGATATATAGAAGCTAGCATTCAAAAACCAAAAGAAAAACAATTATCACGTAGCAGTAGAAGAAACAAGGTTTTGGAGGCACCAAGTGGGAGGCAAGAAAATTTAGAGAAGTCGTCGTCAAACCAGTTGCAGTTTCAACTGGAGAATTCGACCAGCCGAAAAACCAAAAGGTAAGGGTGGGGTTCAGATTTTATAACCGAGAATATGATGGTTAGTATGTAGGATTGGGGTTTAGAGTATTATATTCATTGATGCGTTTTGTTGAAATTGGATGATCAAATGGATTTTGTTCATGCTTATAATAATAATTGATGGGAAAAAATAACAGGAATTTTATTGAGTATCATGTTGTATATTGAATTTGTTGTGCTAATTGGATTGAATATTGGGTTTACGCTGAAACGGTAACAAAACTGGGCAAGGGAATGAAGGAAATTGGAGAAGGAAATGAAGGGTGACGACTGGCAAGGGTGTTGTGCCGAACGACACATGTTATGATAAGGACACTGCCGATCGGCAGGGATGATGAGAAGGTGGGTCGGTACCGTATATATATATATATATATATATATATATATATATATATATATATATATATATATATATATATATATATATATATATATATATATATATATATATATATATATATATATATATATATATATATATATATATATATATATATATTTGTTTGTTGTTGTGACGATAGACAGGAGATTTTGAGTGGAGAGTGCCGTTAGGCCTAGTGCTTGAGGAAAAGTTGTGCCACTAGGCACATTGAGGTGTGACGTTAGGCATTATTTCACGGCAGGCATTGTTTAAGTAGCTTATCAATATAATTAGCAGAATTATATTAGTAGCAACATTTGCAATGGAAATAATTTAGCTGTGGGATTAATTTAATTAAGTTAGCAAATAATTGGACGCGAGTCGATTAATTCGTTATATTGGTATGTTGATGTATTTTTGCGAATTAGCAGAATTAAGCGGTATAATTAGTTGTCTGAAATTAAGTAGAATTTTACAGGGTAACTAATATAAAATAGTAGATAATTATAATTGAGTTATTTTATTGTAAAACATTATTTTGCGGGTAGAACTAAATTAAGCCGATTCGTCCGGTTTATGGAATTATAATAAACGTGTATGCTATATGATTAAAGTACAAAATTGGTTGTTTGGTGTTTTCTTATTGGTAAAGTGATTATGTGATAGAATATGTGAAGTGTTAGGCTTATTGCCAGTGATGCAGGGAAATAGGCGAATGCCTCGTAATGAAGTTTGTGGTGAATGATATGTATGTGATGTTATATGTTACATGAGTCTCATACATTTGCATTTGTGAAGGCCTGTATTGGCGGAATTGTGAAGTAGGCTTATGCCTTGTGCCTCTATTAATTGGCAATTAGTGAAGAGGGCTGAAGCCCTGTTGGTACCACATGCATATGCACAGTTGTGTCATATTCGAATTGCATTTTGAATCACTAATGATAATTGTGAATGTTTATTGATTGTTGTGTGTTGTTGAGAAGCAGTGAAATTCATAATGTTCTTGTCTAATATATTAATTATCATAATCTTATTTATATTATTCGATATCTCACCCTTTTATTTATTTCTTCGTTGCCTTTATACTGGTAACGTGGCGGTAACGAGGAGTAGAAACTTAGTAGCTTGTTGGTGTTGTCTCTCTGATACATAGCACTCTGGGGGATGAATGCTTATTTGATTTTAT